TTTTTTTTAAACTATCAAAACGGAAAATGTTCAAGCCAAAACGTTGGCATCAACAAAATTGGAAACATGGCTAGGGAAATCGCCAAGTTTTTGATGCTAGAGAATCCAGAAAGTTACACGGGACATTGTTTTCGGCGTTCATCGGCCACAATTTTAGTCAATTCTGGCTCAAATCTGCTTGCCCTCAAACGCCATGGAGGGTGGAAATCCAGTACAGTTGCCGAAGGCTACGTTGATGACTGTTTGAGAAATAAAATGGAAGTTTCGAAAAAGATAGAGTCTTCAGTGTCTTCTGCTGCCACAGAACCAGAACAACGATCGTCTACTGGAATACAACAAGAAAACAACGACCGCACGCTGAAAAACTGCACTAAAAACACGACACCAAAAATATTCTCTATTACCGAAAACAAGGTGCACAATAATACTGCTTTTCCCAGCGTAACCTTGAAGGAATGTTCAAATGTTACCATAAATATTAAATATTAGTTTCTTTTGTTAATGCGTTAGCAATTTTCTTAATAAAAACGAGTTAAATTAAAAGTTGTATTTAATTTATTTTGTTAATGCGTTGGCAATTTTAGTAATAAAAACGATTTAAATTAAAATTTGATTTTTGTGGTCTCTGTTTGCAGTCGTATAAAAAGTATCGTAAAAAACTCGTTTGAAAACCTCTTTGCACACTCGCTCGACTTGTGGACCTCGCCTTCGGCTCGGTCCACCAATATGTCTCGCTCGTGTGCAAAGAGTCGTTTTCAAACCTTGTTGTTTAATATACTATTTTATGACCGTTATCCTACTGAAACTATGCGGCATTAATGACAAATATTGAGGAAAAAATTAAATACAAATTTTCCTGTACAAATTTCAGCAGCCTCGCCGAGAACAAAAGCCGCGCTGCCATTGAAAAGTCACGAAGAGCAACATCCTCAATACAAAGACCGACAAAGCTCGCCTGGTTTTATTAAATATTCAATAATCAAAACCTCGCAAAAATCCTCCAATAAAAACTGAGGAATTAATTCCCAGAAGTTGACACAGTTCGGCTGTGCCAGCCCTTTCTTAGATTCCGCGTTCATTTTCTTGGGGCTTTGTTTATGAATGCCAGAGACAAAACACGGAACAGAATAGCAGTCTATCAATGATTTATACATCTCCGGGAGCAGTTTTTGCCGTCAAGGCTGACAATGGCGTATTGTTTCAGACCCCCCGATAGTGGTGCTATGTCTGGGGAGCACGCTCAATGCGGACGATATCAAGGAAGGCGACGACGTATACTTTGAGTGCCACGTCAGGGCCAACCCACACTGGAGGAGGCTTACGTGGCTGCACGATGTAAGTTTATCTATTATATGAAAAATATATGTATTTATTTATTTATCTTGTTAGTATTAAGAAGGCTTAATTCATTGCACTGTTCGCTAAGCTCTTAAGTATGAAAACAGGCGCTAAATTTAAGCCTCTGTTTATCGTCTACTTATGATGTTCTCTAATTTAAGACGTGTTTCGAACCTGCGCAGAATATGCAGAAAGACAGCCAGAAACATGAAGTAGGTAGGTACAGTCCGTACAATATTTGTTGATAGAATTCCAAGACAAGGATAAGCCAATAAAGTTATGTTACACACATAAAAATAATTGTTTAATTCAATGCAGTAAAATTTAAACTAAACAAATAATATCTGCCCATATTCGCAATGCAAACATGTATTTGAACAAAGAATATTATTTCTTTAAAATATTTATTTCAATTAAGTAATAAACGCTTCACATGAAAAATATTTATGTATTGAAATAATGTAGTACATATTGTTGACTCAAAATTTTCATTGGTTTAGACAAAAAAAATTGTAATTTTATTTTAAAAATACTATAAAATTAATATAACATTACATTTGTTCTAACAAAACAAAATATGTTTGAAAGAAAATTATTGTTTTTTAAATATAAATAAATGGTTTTATTTGATATGAGACTATAACTTTCCTGAATTAAATAAAATAGTTCTTTAGAATAAAAATTTGGAACTTTTTTAGGAAAGATAGGGTAAGGTAAAAATAAATCTATGAGTATGTTTGGATAGAATGTATTTTTTCTTAAATAAACGTATACACAAAACATTACAAATATAAGAAATAATTTTAAGAATTAATGTTCCTTAGCTGTTTATGTATAAAATAACATTCACAAAAATATAAATAATTTTTCCGAGACAGTGTGAAATACGGTAGGTTTAACTGTTCCTAAAGTTTTAATGTCTACCGTTACAAAATTTTCAGAGATCTTCACAGAATAAGCACTATGATGCAAATCATAATTTAAGGTAATTAATAAATAGCAATGAAAACTAATTATTGTATTGTTGTCTTCATTAATAACGATGTTTTATATTATACCGAAAGAAGGATTAGGATACCTAATAAAACACAAGACTTGATTTTGTAAAAAATACCATTAATTTTTAACCATGGCACGCAAAAACTTGAAGATGAAATTTCTGAATTAGATGGAAGGATAACGTCTCCTTTGATTAAATTTTGAATTGGTCCATGTTCAAACGTGTCTATTAGTCCTTTTGTGATAAAATTCTATACGATAATTTTAGCTGCATCCGCATACAAAGTGAAAAATGTAATTTTTTTCTACATGTAATAAGGGTAGCTAAATATTTTAAATATTTATGTTTTACTTCGTATCTAATGGAGCTAACATGTATTACAGGTCCAATTTTCTTTATTATATTTGGGTAGTGAAGCAAAAAATTAAATTTAGGCTTTAAATTTTCTTTAAATAGTTTTAAACACATTAGGTGGTGGTCTTCAATAAGACATTTTAAAAAATCAATGGATTCATCATTAAAGATAGACAAAAATAACATTTCGGTTATTTCTAATAAAATTAAGTATAGTATCCATGTTTTATCATTTTCTGGAACTAAATCTCTAATAATTAAATGAAAATTTAAAACTAAGGAAAGCATGAAGATGACAGTAATATAACCGTTTCTAATTTGTTCATGCATACTTAATGTTTGGAGAAATGTTTTTGTTTATACATATAAGAGTAATACTTAATTCGAGCATTTAGTAATGTAGCTTAGTGTAAAATAGTTATTAGTTAATAAATTGTTAATAATTTTCGCCATTTCATAACGATGGATTCCTTCGAAAAGGCTATGCATTAAATCACAACTAATATTTTTATATATGTGAAAGTCATCCAGTTAAAGGAAAATGCAATTTTCCTTAACACCATAATTAGAAGCAGTTAAATGTTCTTAGTAGTCTTGTTCTTGTCTAAGACTACATTACACACTCCTACGATGTACTACACAGTACAGTACACCACAGACCATACACCATACACACTCACACTACACTGCAAGTTATAAAACACATACGAGACGAGTAACTGCATGTGGTAGAAGTTAAAAGTCTAAATGCCTTTGTCTGTCACGGAAAGTTAATCCACGCTTTTCGTCGTAGTTTTAAAAATATGATAGTTTTGAATTAAAACAATATACTAAAAGTTTATCTGAAAATTTAACGATATGATAGTTTTATGTCAATAAATACTATTATTCCTTTGATAAAATAAGTGTTTTAATTTGGTTTTATGATTTATTTGTTTTAAATAAGTTCATTTAAATTAAAATAACCAAAATGTAGATTCAACCTTAAAACATGATTGTTTTAAATAAATTGATTTGTTTTACATTATAATTTACTATGCTTTAATACATTGTATTATATGTTTAAATTTAGGATGTATCTTTGATTCTAATACATTTTCTAAACATAAAATAGAATTGTTCCAAATATATGAGTAATACTGAAATAAAGATATATGATCAAATTAAATAAATATTTCTTCATAGGAAACAATTGCTTTTAAAGAAATTTGTAGTTTATTATTAAAGATACGTTTTTATGTGTGCAATTATTTCAATTGTTTTTGGAGTGTTTCTGGTCATGGCCAATTTGACGAACAGACCTGAATGAGAAAAAATGTCCAAAAAATAGAAAATTGCAAATATCTCTAAAAGTAGTAACGGCAACCCTAACAATGCTTATATGGCTTGAAATGAAATTTCCACCTGCAGACGACAGAGTAAAAAAATACAGGGTGTTCCATTTAAGTTAACCAAGTTATAGCTGTTTGAAGTTATCAGAATGTAACAGCAAAATTGAAACACCTAGTATTAAATATTTTAATTTGTTGGTACCATAATTTAGTGTTACTTATATCGTTTGATCCACTTGATATGACGCTCCGGAAAAGAGTTACTAGCATCTCCGCGGACCCTTGCGTCTGTCAAATTATTTCTTTATAATAATATCTCAAATTCTGTAACTCCTAGATATAGGGACTATCCCAAGTAGCACAAATAAGTTTATAAGAACTTTAAGAATATCTATATAACCACTTTCCCGCAGGTAAAAGCTTTATGAAAAGGTGTTGAGAACAGTTATACAGTATTAAATAAGCATTTATAAATCCAAAATAGGCGCAGTTTATAAAACCATTTTATAAAAGCTGCGCATACAATATTTATTCCACAAATTAGTGTTCTGTCGTATTGCTGCTGTACATTTGTAAAATATACTATAAAACCTTTACACAGAAATCATTGTCTTATAAAACAAATTTGCTGATATAATTGTCTCCAAAGAAAAGGTTTACACATGTTTTATAAACGCTATTTTTCCCAACTTGAAAGCGATTAATATTGTATTAATGTTGCAACAAAACTTTTTAGCATTATAATTATGCGTTTCTACACTAAATTGTTTTATTAATAATAAAACTTGAAGCTTTGGGCTATTGCTGTTTGTCCGCCATATAAGATAGGTACTCAAGAGTTAATGTTTACCGATATACAAAATAAAATTAAATATGTATCTAGAAAATAAAAAATTACTTGCAACGAAAATTTTATTGATGAAATATATCATGATACCTTTAAAAAACTAACCGCTTTTAAAATTAAGCAGATTTAGCAATCGTTTGTAATAATTTTTGAAAAATGATGTCTCAATTTTCGATTCAATAAAAAAATAAAGAATATGTATATAACAAATTATTAAATATAATTCAATAGACATGCATTAAACTAATTATTTCATGATACATATATTATAAAATTGAATTTCTTTTTGACGTAATTCTGGTGTACAATATGGCTGACATCTTGTCCTAAGCATGTGTGAAAAATATGGCTGCTAGGAGGATACTTCTACCACAGTAACTATAAATCTGTTATAAAATAATTAAGATTTTAAATATTTTATATAGTATTTTGTAGAGTAATTTGCTTCCTGCTACAATTCCAATGGCGTCAACAGAACAAATAATAAAGTAGTGTATAAGTATGATGGGTAGATGGTATGGCTGGCTAGTAGACATTGTAAGTGCTTATTTGTATTTTAAAATGTTCTGAAAGTAGTTCTGAAGATTTTGAATGATAAAATACTTTTAACTAATAGCACTGCTAGTAGAGTTTAGAGGAGATAAATATACGAAGTACTGTCACAAAGTCACAAGTTTGATAATCATATGGGCAAATCAGCCGCTTATTGGTCACAAACAACGAATACATTCTAGAAGAGACGTGAGTGGATGTCTACAGATGAAACCATTATCAGTTAATATTAAATGTAATTAATAATAATTAATGAAATTATAATCAGTAAAGAGTATTATAGTAGGTACTTTTACTGTTGTTGTTTGCAGCAAAAAATAATTTTGCAGTGACTGTAAAAGCAACGTATCGTATAGATAGGTAAACAAACTCTTTCATCGATTTTAATGAAATTTGGCAGGTTTGTTTGAAATAATAAAGCGCTTATTTGAACGTAGTAATATGATTAAAATTAATAATTTCTGTGTCTTCCTGAATGTTAACTATTAATATCCTAGGACATAACGCATAGTAGGTATTTAAATTTTAGAAAACAACATGCAGTTTTATCGTCATAATGGTTGTAATGTGTATCAACACTAAAACTTTCTAATTCACAGATTTTTTAGATTAGGGACAATATCTCTATATATATTTTTATGACTTCGAAAACTTTACTATATAGTAGTTTTATAAGTACAATATTTATTGCTGCATCTCTCAAAAATATCTTTTTAGTTGAGAAGAAACTACTTCAACTATTTAAACTATTCTCCTTATAGGTGTAATAGAACCCTTTTATAGAATCTTTTTTAAGGCTTGTTGTGATATTATTTAATTTTAAAAGCTAAAATTATTTACATTTAATCATATAGTATATTTAAATGATAATGTTATACAACATTAATAGTGCAATCAATATACTGTATTAAAA